TTCAATTCCTATCTATCATCACTCTCTATCTAAAATCTATTAATCGAACTATCAAGAGTTCAATTTTATATTTATCTAACGTTATCATAACGATTTTAGTCATTACAAAATCCGAATTTACAAAATTACTATGTGTATTTGACTAGACTGAGAAATTTCCTCAGATTTTTCTCTATAAAATTGCTTAGTTCTTCATGCAAACCACTTAACCCTCGGCACACAGTACAAATTATGCATAGTCTTCAGGTTTCTCAACTTAAATGGATGTTTGTCAATCAAAAATTCAATGTTTGCACTAGGCTAACCTCACAGTATACCTTGGAACCACTTTAGCTTTGTTTTTTCTATAATATAATAATTCAAATCTTATACTTTTAAACATTAACTCAAAGACAAAAAAATAAAGTGTCACAACTGTTATTCGTAAAAACTTAATAATTCTAAGAACAGTGTCTTAATAAACACAATTAGTCAGAAAGAAAATGGGTTATAAACTTATAAAATTACAAAAAAAAATTTATACTAAGTCTTTGAGGTTTTTTTGCAATTAAATCTAATTTCGCCAATTGCGCGACGAGCGATCATACATAAACGAAGCACACACGAACTATATGATTATTATGTAATAGTGTGGTTTTATTTCTTACCAATAGGGAATTGTAATTACCTTAAGCCTCCATTCAAAATAACGCATGTGTCGGTGAGACCTTTGATGTCACCCTACTATTAATTGGAGTTCCCTTTTCTCTCAATAGCTGTACTTGACCGTACTTAATGTAGCAATATTGCTTATTTATTTTTATTATTATGGTAAACTCCCTAGTTGTGTGATGTTCTGTAACTCCTCAATGGGACATGGACACATTTATATGTATGTTTCATTAATCATCACAGGTTTCTACTCGATTTTCTGGAAAAGAACACAACAGGTAGCAGGTAGATAGCAAAACTTTGTCAACGCCCTTAAACTTGTACTACCCAGTATATTTCAAGCTAGTATTAATTTAAGATGAGCACTTTATTATTTACAAATAATGTGGTTGTAATGGAGAGAATGGGCCTGTCAATTCAAGCAGGAATTTGAGGCGGAGGTCACAACCGTTGGAAGTACCGGGCGCGCGCACTAACTTAGCGAGGCGCCGCTCACGCGATACATGTAATTAATAAGGTTTCTAAGAATATTGGTGATTTATGATTGGATTTTTAGGTTAATATATTTTTATATTAGATATGTAAATATAAATGAGTTATGTAGAATTCAAGTTTTCTTTTCACCTTAGAATTCTGCATAGATATCGTGTTTTTTCTTTTAATAGACAATTTGGTGATCAGCCATCTGCGCCTAACACACAGCTGCTCTTAAAATGCGAAGGGAAGAAATTATTATACAGCCGTGATTCGAACGCACGGCCTCAGCTTTGCAAGTATGGCGTTCACTATAATAAGACCAAGAATTTGCCCTCAAATTTCTGAAACAATTTTCTTGATATGCAAGTCAAGCCGTCTGTGCATGACACGTCGATTTTTGGGTTTTGGACGTATTGGTTTTTTCTTCATCGTGTATTTAATAAATAACAAGTATGATACCAACATATTTTTGAATGTTCAACCTCCGATTTAGGGTCTGATCAACTCTTTAAACTTAAAGAATAGAAAGAGAAGCATAACGAATCCGCGAAAAGTGGTCTCAGTAAAATAATACTTAAGAATAAATGGGTTACTAGCCTGCCATGACAAACTTACGAAAACGAAAATGTTCCTCTCTCTATTGACATTATAGAAGTATAGTCATCATTAAAATCTATTTCTAAATTTAACATTCGAAAATTTATTAATATTTTTTCGTATTTCGTACTATCAAAAAAGTCTAAAATTAATTTGTTACATTGTAACAAATTGAATCTTTAAATAATAATGTATTTATATTGATGTTCTATTGTGAGTATAAAAAGTGACAAGGTAATTAATATATAAATAGTTAATGTCACTGTCAATCAAAAACTTATTATAAGAATTCTATTAATGATTTCATTAATAACGCACAAGTTGCTTCCGCTAATGTCTTTTTAATTAAGAAGCTCCATTAGAGTATCTGTAATCACTTTAAAGGTAAAACTAGTTTTTATTACCATATCAAGACAACAATAGATTAATTAAAATATATATTTAATTGACATTCAAAAATGTAGTACAAGCAGTATTTTTGTTTCAATACATACAAGAAACAAGTGCTTGCAATTGCAATAGAATATAACATAATTGAAAATATAGAATTCTATAATATGGATTAAACTCTGTAAGCTCTCACAAAACTTTTTATATTGGCATAAGCGATACTTTCAGTTTCAGTACACTGTTTAATTAATGACTTTGGGCGCGGCGTAGAAGACAAACGAACAAACTTTATTAGTAAAGTGTTTACCTAGAATATTTAAACCACCAAAGCGGAAGCCAGAACCGCTCTTCGTTCATTTCATTAGTAACTTTCATTTATCTACATCATTATAAAACTTATAATTTTCCCATTCCCTATACTGGCCCCCTGCCCCTGATCCGCCCAATCGTCTAGCGACGGCCTTGTCAAACAATTTGTATATTTTTGAAATTCTTATTACATGTGATATTTTTTTTATATTTCGCATTTTGTGGAGGGTATTCTATGATTTGACAGACCGCCTTAATAAATATCCATTCTTCCTGTATCACTTGTTTGTTGAACTCACTGGCTTGTGTCGAAAACTTCATTTCACTATTTAAGGTATCCGTCTTACCTTTCGCTTTGTTCCTGTTTGTTTAATCGGGTTCGGTTTAAGAATAACTTTATTTCTCATAAGAATTGAAAATTCACTTACTGAGAAACACATATTTAAAACTAAGATTAAACATTAGAGCGCACAGATGTCGGTACATATATAAAATAAGAAAACAGAACAGCACCAAAAATGTGGGTAGACATAAAAAACTTGGTCAGTCAACCAAGCGAAACACGGATGTTAGAATTTAATTTTTTTCTAGATGTGGCATTGATGGCATAGTCTGATATAACAAGTTTATATTGATTATTTTATTATTTTTCATAAGACTATTTTATTTTTAGTTTATTCCTATATTTATATATTTAGGGTATGTACAAGGTTTATAAAACATTTTTACAAATTAAAATCACCTAAAGGCAGATTTTGGTCAATATCAAATACAATTCTTTAACACCGTGAGTGGTGTTAGTTTAAAGTTCTTAAACATTATACATTTCAAGTGTTATCGCATTCTTGTCGATATATATATATATATATATATATATATATATATATATAAATATACATATTATATTTTGATCACTTATTTGTATGTAATTAATGTGTAAGTTTTTAGAAGCTTTTTAAATCGGGCATAATTTTGTTCTGCTTTTATAACTGATGGTAACTTATTATAAATTGTAACACCCTCATACTCCAAACTTCTTTTTCCATAGTTAGTTCTAGGAGGGCGGGTCACCAAGTAACTAGCACGTCTTAAGTTAATGTTTCGTGTTTGTTGTTTGGTTAAATGTTGTTGTTTAATGTTCCATATACCTCATCTGACTAATATTTGTGTATTAAAATTAAGAAAGAGATGACGGAGTATGTATTTGAGTCTTATACTTATATTATTAAAATAAAACAAGATATGTATGAGCCACTAAAGCGTTCTTTGTTTTACATACGGTACGAGTACAACGTTGTTTTGATGCGTTTTACACTTATAGACGAGTGACATATAGGTATGTTATATAATTCCATATTTCATCTAGAAAGATTATTTTCTTTACGAGATGCGAACCAAGCGTCGCGTCGGTGAGAGATATATCTTATCAATTTAAAAAAAATGCTAATTAGTTAAAGACATCTTTAGATCCATTGTCTTAAGCAAACGAAATATAACTTAATAGCATTTCTGTAAAAATATTTCGTATGAAGTTTAATATAATGCTATGATATTCACAAAATACCGACACCATTTATTTATTTATTTCGTAATCCTACAGCTTGCATTATAAACAACAAAAAACAATTATAGTAGACATATATATCTAAAGATAGAATACATATTATATACAAAAAGGTTTAAATATTTACGTAAGGAAAAGATCAATAAAAAATATTAAATACATAATACCTAATTTGACTGAGCTGTATGATGGTGTGAAAGTGAGGGGAAAGGTATGTGATGTGTATGAGGTATACTCATGATGCAGGTGATTTAGTGCTATGGATATACTTAATACTGCTTTAAAGCATATTCCACGATAGCTTAAACATGTCAAGGCTTAAATAGTGGTCATTGTATGTAGAAATCATAGTATTACTTTAGCTTTGTGACAAATTCGTGGCATTTTCAATACGTACTATAGCAATAACGTTTATGTCGCTAACATGAACTGAATTCACTCGATAATAGTCGCAATTCACGATTGCATTTGTTGATTAAGTACTTGGCGTTTGATTAAATCTCTAAATTAGCTTTATTTGTGCTGAAATTGTAACAGCAATTGTCGAGGATCCAACACTATGTTTAAGCGACCTAAATTACCGTAAAGTTATTTGTATGACCTTGTAAAATACACGTGTATATAACGTATAACAGAGAGCATCATTTGTATGGCAATCAAGGTTTGTAATAATTTACCAAAAACATTCAAATATATTCCTACTAGAGTTCTAAAAAAATGTTTTTTCTATTAATGACTATTTGCTTGAAACATTATAATGAATATTAATTTGATAATGTATATATATATTTTAATGATCTGATGATGTAGTGATAAAATAATTTAAGAATAGACTATAATGATATGACTCATAATGTAATTATAACTTCTATTCTTTCAAGACAAATTTGTTCGCCATTATGTGTTTCAGAATATGCGAACTTTAGATTGTACCACCATTTTTGTACCATTTTCATATAAGTTCCTCAAATTCTCTGAGCTAAGTTTTCGTACGTAGTAGACATATTATTTCATGAAACTATTTCTCATTCCAGCCGATTTTATACACCCCTGCAATACCACCGAGTCAGCATGTCTAGTGCAAGCTACCCAAGACGCAATTCCAGAGTTTTCCCAAGGCCTCCCTGAACTTGGAGTGCCTCCGCTAGATCCTTTCGTCATCGAAGAGCTGCCAATTCAGCTTCCTGGGGTGAAGGTTACGTTCATAGATGGCAAAGTCACTGGTCTTAAAAAGTGCCAAGTGCTGAATGTTGAGTGAGTTACCAAATATTTTTTTTTAAACCTGTAATAAAAACACAATTTTATCTCTGTTTAACTGCCGATTAGATTTATAGGCCAGAGTACACGCGTCTTGCTATTTAGGGGCTACTGGTGAACCATTTACTGTGTTTACTTGGCTTGTTATTTTCATAAACACGGCTTTTAATATAAAGACAGGATTTTTTTTATAGAAACTCATCGTTTGCCTACTTATTAAAGGGCATAGGTATATCAAATTCTAAATATAATGAACATCACACAAAAATTTCGATCGAACATTATAGGGCTTCATATCAAGGATAATCTTATTAACTAATTATTTAGAATTTTCATAACCTACATAGAAATAATATAAATAATTAATAAAAAGAAAATTAAAACAAATTTAAAAAGTTTGGTCCCTGTGGCAGTGTACCTTTAACGCTGGTAGCATTTCCGCGCTGTATTGCGATACTTGTTCGTTGAGCGAGGAATGTACCTACCAGCTCACCGGTATTATCTACCAGGCGCCAACTTAAATCTTTAATAAGCGCCTTTTAGGTTAAGAAAATTGTAAATACTGTATTTTAGTAATTATATGAATAATATTGATATTATTTATTATGAAAACAATATCTTTTTAAAGAAATGAATTATTATTTAGTCTTTACTTTTTTATTATTGATTTAGTACATAATGTGTTATGACCCGCCCCAGTCTATTCTAGAAAAATCTGTCTGAATTCTAACGTATATCTTATCCATATAAAGACCAGGTAAGCACAGATGCATAATGTTATAATAAAAACAGTTTAGGAAAATTTAATGGATCTCGTCTCAAATGTCTCTCGTCTTAAAACGTTAGATTTTCAGTCAAAAAGAATCTCGATATTTAGTTTATATATATAATTTGTGGACAAATATACATACACATAAGAAATATTTATTTCGTATTATTGATACCCATATATCTTCAATAGTCCCACTGAAAATCAGTGTTTTGGTTTACCCAAGTGTCCACTCTAAACGTACTGAATGAGGCAAACGTTAATTAATAATAATAAATTAACACTGCGCACTACAGTACCTTTTTTATATATATAGTTTTATCTTCAGCTCACGTTTCAAAGCCTAAATCGACGCTCATACTCAATTCATCAAACAATATTAGATATAGGCAGGTAAACCTGTTTTTATTCGGTTAATAATTCACATTCTTAAATTCGTATTTCAGAGCTTATTTGGAAAGGAATGTATTTATTCTCGAGATACGCTGCAACATCACGATCAAAGGGAAGTACACAGCAGTGGGGAGGCTGTTGCTGTTCCCGATAAATGGCGAAGGAGACTCCAAAATAAAAATTGGTAATACATATAATGAATTTAAACCTAAAAATATTTTAACACCTTAAGGGTAATAGAATAAGTATAATATCATGTATATACCCCATTTGGCAATAATAACGATAAGTAAAAATGTGTATGAATATGAATACATTTCTGATGACGCCATTAAACAACGATCGTTTTATGATAAAAAGCCCCCACAAATACTATACATTATGAAAACTAAATAAAAGGTATTCTTAATTTCTAAAATTAAAAAATAAAATGACAAGTTGTGAACCTTTCAATGCTATTTTTGTCATAATAATAAAATTAATTTCTGTAGTTTTAGCAGATATATTTAATTATTAAATTACACATAAAATAACTCCTTTATTTGTTACAAAAGATACATTGTGTTTGCAGTGAATTCAGTAATAAAATTGAACATAAAGACAAAGTACTTCAAGGACGGAGAAGGGCGCGACCACTTCGGCATAAAGAGTTATAGATACTCCTTTGATTACGGCGACCGAGTTCATTACACAATCAACAACTTATTCAAGGGAAATCCGGAGCTGAGTATGTATCTCGTTTTTTATTGTGAATTTCTTATTTAGTTACGAATAAATTTAGATAAAAATTGAATCATGTTTCCATACGGTCTAGAAGACAAAAACCCGGGTATGTGAGTGTTAAAAATGTCATATGTCAATCTTTATTCCGTGTGCAAATGCGTTACGCATACGCTTTGAGGTGAAGGGCTATGTATGACTCGGTACCTACTGTGCATACCCACTGATACCCCACGGCACCACCAGAAATCGCCCGGGACTGGTCACGGTACCAGCGTAGTATTCTTCGCCTCCCGCCAAGCGAATTTCCGTATTCGTGACGACCTAACTCATTTGTACCTCAATTGACTTTAATTGTCACGACTTTTTATTTTCTTTCAGTGTATATCGGTGAAAGGTATACCGGTCTTGTTTTGACAATCATAAGTAGGTATACCTATATATAATTTTAAGTGATCCCAATTTCAGGTAACACAGTACTGCAATTCTTAAATGAAAATTGGAAAATTGTGACGGAAGAATTTGGACAACCAGTTGTGGACTATGCAATGAACGTGACAATAGAAACAGCGAAGAAATTCTTCGACGCCGTCCCCTATGACGAATTACTTCATGTACCTATACCTAAGTACTAATTATAATATTTAAACCTATTGAAAGGCTGTATTGGTTTTATGTTACCAATGAAGAGATGTAATTATATTTACTTAGTTATCGTATAATATTACGTTGTAATTTGTTTTAAAATATAGCATCTTGACACATAGAAGCGATGTAAATATAGCACAATTGGTCTTGTAATTATAAGAACTAAATCAGTTTTATTTCACTAATTTAACTGTAGTACTCGTTCGCATTGATATCCAATTTATACCAATGTGATAAAAAGAAGCAGACAATAGCGTTAGTTAAATCAGTTTAATAAAACCCTAATTTTATGAAACTTTGACAGAATTGCCCAAATTTTGGATTTGAATATTTTTATCGCTGTGTTTGACTTACCAAAGTTAATCTCTAAAAAGTGTAATATACTATTTTAAGTTGTATATATATGTTGCTTTATATTGTCTATATTCACTAAATTTTCAGTAATACCAGACTAGCTTTCTTCAAAATGCGCAATTTTCGTTTGTGCGTAATTTTTAGCTTTTTTTTAATATTAACAAAAACATGATTTATACAATGCAAAATGTAAGGAATAAACTTTATATTTTGTGTTATAGTTTTGAAACCATGTATAGTTAACCAATAATGAATCTCCAACGGTGTTGTTGGCATCAATAAGCCGGATGTAGCAATAAGTATTTTATTGTATAATATATTAAAAGGATAGATACTTACGTAGATTTTTGTAGCACCTTAATATACGTAATAAACTAATAATAGAATTACTCGGCACTTAAAATTAAATAACACGATTGGACTTGTATAATTTTATACTAATAGATTATATTTATTAAAACTTAAACATAACAATCAAATATACAGTATTTATAATTTTCTTAACCTACACAGTAATAATAAAAATAATTAAAGATTAACTAGAAAATTAAAACAAATTTAAAAAGTTTGGTCCCCGTGGAAGTGTACCTTTAACGCTGGCAACATTTCCTTGCTGTATTGCGATACTTTTTCGTTGAGCGAGACAAGCACCAGCTCTGAGGTCACCGGTACTATGGACCAGGCGCTGATTTAATCTTTAATTAGCGCCTGTGCACTTGAACCCCACGGCCCAAGAGTCTGTACTCCAAAGAGAACAAAATCGAAGTTGGAGGAGACTTATTAGATAAGTTAAAGATATCACTTGTTCTACTATCTTATATTGAATTTAATTACTTAGAGCTTCTTTGTTTTATTTCCAAACATTTTTTTTGGATTTCATTATTAACCTATATTGATTTCGTTTTTCGATTTCAGACAAAATTGATGCGAATAAAAACATCAATTTTCTATATTGCCAATGTTTGTTCCGTTTTTATTTTTGAACAAAGTTAAGCTATACATTAAAACCGTTGTGTAATATATTTGCATTCCTACATACTATATATATTACACAAAATAAATATTGGAAAATATAGTCAAGAAACCATTTAACAGAAATAGTGAACTGAGAGAAATAGTGTTACTAAGTTGGTGATGGATAGGACAAGCATGTTACCGGATGTCTGACTTAAGCTATAGAAGAATTATTTGTTCTGATAGTATAACGTCCAATCGAAAAAGCATAGAAAAGTATGTCCACAGGGGAACATAAAATCAGGATAAACAAATAAACTGTTGAAGCAGGCACATAAGAAATTGGGCTCGCACTGCAGACGCTCATGACGGAGACACGGATTAAGGGAAACTGTTAACGCGCCTCCCGTCCATAGCGAACAGATGGGGCTGATGGGTTTTAGTGGGTAGGGATCCGTTGCACCATACGGACTGACACACACACTCCCCGCGTCACTTTTAAATCGTTGCCCCGGCGCGGGGGTTAGTAAATTGATTACCCAACAAGAAAAAAAAGGGACATAAGTAAAGCAGCAGTGACTTGGAATAATATCCATGATTCTTATCAATTTTATATAATATTCATTAGTTACATAATTGTAGTAGTAGTTGATTTCAATAAAAAGGAAAATCATAAATTTGTTTTTTTATGTACGGAATTTAGTTCATACGTAAAAATAAAATCAAATATTTATTAATTTTCTGCCAGTTCTCAAATCAAAGACGTAGAACGAACTAGCAGAACTGGCCATTGTATCCGCTATTCCTTTTAATCACCAATTCATATGTGGAGCTTCATACAAGCATTTTGTATTGAAGAATATTGAAGATTTAACAAAAAAGAATAAGCTTATTTTAATTATTATTTTACGAGTATAAGCGTTTAGCCTCTACCACTGGGCAAAGCGAAATAGGGGTGCGTTCCGGTGAAAGGACCCGCGCACAAAACATGTTACGAGGTCTCGTGTTTCGTTATAATTATTCGGAAACAAGTAAAACATGTGTGTGCAGCGAAGCTCAAAGAAATTAAATTTGTGTTAAATATGAATAATGTATCTCAAATAAGGAAATGTCTAGTGGAGGTTATATTAGATCGCTTTTGAGATTCTTGATGCTTTTTACCTTGACATTTTTTGGTGTTAAGTTGAGATACATGAAAATTATAGGAAAAATAAAAAACAACGTTTCATAGATATGTTTCTCATTTAAGTGTTGGTGTAATTTTATATTTGTATTATATTAATAACAAGAGTAATATTTCTTGCTTCATTCCTATCATTTCCGCTGTTATTTTAAATACTGCTCCAATATTGATGTAGTGGTATTTAGATTAAGTAAAACGTTGAATATAGATAGGGCCTATCTATTAAACAATTTGAATGAAAAAATTTACAATCACACTAAAATCGTTTATCGAATAATACAAGTATTTCAGTAAAACTGAGGTGATAATTACAAACAAAACAAAAGACGACGAGTTCATTTCGTTAAAAAAATTAAAAATACAGAAACAAAGTAATATTTTTTTTACTAATCACCGATCGGTAATTTAAAACAACCGGTTAACACTGTGCTGGCTGCAATGTCAGATTGAAGGTCCAATAGAGTCTACATAGATATAAAACATTTATTCCTCATTCAAGAACTGTTGGTGATCCCAGACAGCAAACATCAACAATGATTTTACGAACGGATTGTGTGATATTTGTCTTATGTTTTGTCTGTTTTGGAGACGCGAAAATTGCACGTAAGTATTTTTGGCTCTCATTGTAAAACTATTTAGAGGTTAAAAAGACCGTAATTTATGAACAAAGTCATAGAATATAGAATAGAATATACAAATCTCTTTAAAAATTAAAATGTTTGTGGAGTATTATGTTAATTAAATGAAAAGTTTAAAGTTGTGTAACCTGTCGAACTCAAAACAATATTTTCCAAATTCATTAACAAGAATTTTCTTAAGCCTAAATTTTATTCTTGCGCATTTTTAAACATGCCATTATTAAACCATAATAAACAAAAATATAAATTCGTTTAGGCATGTGTTTTAAATTTAATAACTCTATAATATGAATTTTGTACGTGTAATAGCATGCATAAGATTTTATACAAGAGAGTTGAGTTTTTTATACAAAAAAAGGTAAAAATGTTTTCACACACAAATTTAAATAATTTGATAAAACAATCATATTATGATATTTATTTAATTTATTAACGTGAAATTATTCGTACTCACCAAAATACACACATATATCAGCTAGTATACTAAGTTATAGGTAATAATTATATAGTTATAAATCTATTACATTGTATATTTTTATGCTGCAATTATACTTCCTATAATAATATTGTTAAAAGTTGTAAACTGCCAAAGTAATTTCATACTAAAGGTAAGGTCGCGCATTTGTTAAGGTCATAATAACCTTATTATCTGAGCATGAAAATACAATTCCCTATATTATTTACATGATATGAATATAACATAATAAAGTTCTAGACTAGACTAGAGTATTAGACCACTTAGGTCATGAGTTTAAATCCCGACTGGTCTGACCATTAGATATCCATTTTTGTGTAGGAAATCATCACATCCATCCTGTGATTAAAGAAAACATTGTAAGGAAACATTGAAGGAAAGAAATGGAATGCGTTTGTCCCATGCCATTAACGGGACTTCATAGTTCACGCAATTAATCTGGAAGATTTTACTTGGCCCCATTGATATAAAAACAATATATTGAATTGTTTTGTATAATATATTGCTGATTATTTAAAAACTGTCTTCGCATGTTGTTATTTTGAGCCTCACATATCACATTACAAACCTTCGGATAATTCGACAGATTTCAGAGTCGCAACTTAAGTAAATTTTATTCCTACATTGTAGGTTGATCAAGTTTCTTTAAGATACCATTGCATCATACCTCATCATATACATGGACTAAGGGAACTTTAATTTAAACAATAGAATCATGATAGTAACATAAAAAACTAAACAACAATAACATTTGATTTTTTGTTTGATAACCATGAGAAAAATCTTCACATAAATTGAGTATTTGATATGACTAATTACTAGTATGATTAAATATCCATGTACAGATGCATTCATTTATGAACAAAACACTTGTGAAACACATAATACAATTTCTCACAATGTTAATTGTACAAAATTATTCTAATATTTTCGTTTATTATAAAATGAGGGTATGGAAGAATATTTAATAAATTTTTATTTTTAAAGAAATGTTAAATTAACTGTTATTTTTTACATGATGATAATATTATCTAAGAATGTATAAGAGTCTAAGTTTCCATTTATGAAAAATGTTTTTTTTTTCAGCGGACTTTATCCACCCGTGCAACGAAACAAGCAGAGAATGTCTTGTCAAGTCAACACAGGAAGCTATTCCCGAATTCGTAAAAGGCCTTCCTGAGCTTGGAGTGCCCTCGTTGGATCCCTTCGTCATTGAGAAGTTAGCAATTCCTCTAACTGGACTGAAAGTTACTTTTTATCAGGGGAAAGTGTCCGGCTTTAGAAACTGCATCGTTGATAATGTAATGTAAGTTTTCGGCCATTTTAGTATATTTAATTTCCCAAATACCAATAAACTATAAGTTCCACTTCCAATTTCACAGG